CTGGAAGATCTGGAGCGCCTATCAGACGTAGCTGCAGTTCGAAGGGAATGGAGGCAGCTACTGGATATGATCTGCAAGTAGAGGTTGCGGCGATGAAACCGCGCCGTCACCTTCTTCCCAGATCACGGAAATATCGCTCAATACACTTTAAACATTCTATACACAAAGAATTTACAGCTACGTTTGTGCTTGTTGTCTTTATGTCTCCTATATCAACTGCTTCTCTTACCATGTCCAGCATAAGCGAACGTGTGGACTGTGTTTGTGCATGGGCGACTTGCACTCGCACTGTTGACGCTGCCGCGGGAATGCAAATAATAATAATAATAATAATAATAATAATAATAATAATAATAATAATAATAATTTGAAACTCGGGTATTGAGCCAATAATAAAAGTAGAAAGGAAAAGGATGTGTTGAAGCTAGGTGTCAGGACGTCGAATGTCTCAGTACTCTGTCAGTTTTGTGCCTAGTTGTTGCACTTTCTGACTGTATATAGTATCTAGTTACAGTGGTGGAGAGTTACTCCTAACTCGTTTCCATATGTCCTTTTCCTTTCTACTTTTTAATAATAATAATAATAATAATAATAATAATAATAATAATAATAATAATAATAATAATAATAATAATAATAATAATAATAATAATAATAATAATAATAATAATAATAATAATAATAATAATAATAATAATAATAATAATAATAATAATAATAATAATAATAATAATAATAATAATAATAATAATAATAATAATAATAATAATAATTGTGGAGTCAATGGGCGACTGCATTGGTATGCATTTCAACCCGTCAAAGTCTAGCTGGCTCACTTTGAAACGGGGGAGAGCCCAGAGCGATCAGCAGTCTGCTCTCCAGACACTCCAGGGTCACGCTATTGCTAAGCTGCAGGCGGAGGAGTCCTACAGGTACCTTGGTGTCCCAGAATCAGCACATTTTCACGCCACCGAATTGAAGACCACAGCAAAGTCTGAGTTCGTCCGCCGCCTTCAATTGATATGCTCGTCTCAATTGAACGCCAGGAACTTGGTCAAAGCCATCAACACCTTTGCCATTCCAGTCATCCTCTACTCTCTGTGCATCGTCGAGTGGACAAGGGCAGAGATAGAGGAACTCGACCGACAGACCCGCCAAGCACTGTTTAAAGAACACGCCCGCCACCCCAAGGACTCTGCCGCCAGGGTCCACCTGCCTCGTGACATGGGTGGTCGAGGAATTCTATCATTCCGGGACCTCCTGGATAGAACCCGTGTCCGGGTGGCGCGGTACCTACAAGCCCACCTAAACGTGCCACTGTTGGCTGCTGTTAAGCGCCATCACGACAATGATGTGGCACCGTCAAAATCAGTTACACGTCAAGCCTCCAGACTTCTGGGTGAACTTGACCTACCCGACTTGGAGACTGCCACAAAAGTCATTGTCAAGAAGGCCGTTGCTCTCCGGTGCCTGGCCGTTATCCAAGGTAAGCCTCTCCATGGCCAGTTCTGGAGACGAGCTTCTGATGCTGGCTTGGACCTGGGCTTGAGTTTTCGCTGGCTGAAATCGCCAACGATCAGGCCTGTGACAGAGGGACTCTTGCTGGCTGTACAGGATCAGGCCATTGCGACCAGGCACTATCAGGTCACGGTCATTGGACGGGGAGACGTTGTGGACATTTGTCGAGTTTGCGGCACTCGCGGAGAAACAGTTGATCACATTGTGGCCTGTTGCCCAGCCCTAGCCAAAACACTGTATATCGAACGGCATGACACGCTCGTCAAGTTGGTGCATTGGGCACTATGCAAGCGGCATGGTCTGGGTAGGCCGGGAAGCAACCCGCTGAAGCATCATCTTGTGCCTGTCACCGAGAATCTTGACATGAAGCTCCTGTGGGAGTTCAATATCCCAACGGATACGCAAGTGCGCCACAACCGTCCAGACCTGGTGTTGCGGTCCAGCACACAGGTGCTGCTGATGGATGTCAGTGTTCCATTGGACCAGAATGTTCCCACAAAAATCGCCGAAAAAATAACAAAGTACGCTCCCCTTTGCCAAGAGCTGCGGCGCATCTGGCATGTGGATGATGTCCGCGTTGTGCCCCTGGTTGTTGGGGCGCTTGGTGGACTGACTGGTGTGTCCCTGTCACACTTTGTGTTGGCATTGGCAGGCACTCTGCGCATTGAAAGGGCTCAGCAATGTGCTATCCTGGGCACGCTGAATATTGTCAAGTCCGTTCTTGGCATTCGGCATTAGGCTCCTCATGTTACGGGTAGAGTTAGTCCGTATAAACCTCCAATACCGCATTTGCTTTGACATCCATGAATGTGCAGTATGACGGTCCTCACAACCTGATTTTTCTCTTGCCATTTGAGTATGTCCGGCATTCATCTCTTCCTTTATTTCTATTCCTGTACTGGTAGTCCATTTTTGTGATTACTCTTTTTGTATTCGAATATGTCCTGTCCTCCTCCATCTTTTTGTATTCGAATATGTCCTGGCCTCCTCCATCGTTCTGCTTATTTCTGTCCGTCTCTCAGTTTCTGCGTCGGCTTTCAATATTTTCGCTTTGGTTTTTACAATCCTTTTTGCTTCGGCCTTCATTGCGTTGGCCATTTATCTATTTTTTTCTCTCATTACCCTTGGTCTCTTTTGGCCCGCTGATGGGGTTCTTACCTCATGTCATGACAACGTGAGTGAAATAAAGCCAACTCCATAATAATAATAATAATAATTTCTATTTCTGGAGGTCTAAAATGCAAGGTAACCCCCCTAAAATTATATATTTCTAGTTTCAATGAAGTATGAGGATCCCAAAAATAAAATAAAAAGGGCATGTCCATGAAGAAATTATGAAGCTGTGCACTCAATTGTACTTTGCGGACGGGCATTTCTGCGAAGGTCATTTTTTGTACCAAAATTACTATTTTTCTAAGTAGTCAATGCTGATTGCCAGATTTTCTTGCTCAAATGCTTCACTGTGATGTGTGAAAGGACTTGCAATCACAAAGGGAAGCCAGACAACTGGTTAATCTGAAATATGACCCCAAAACAAGCATATTTAGGCCGAAATCGATAATACACCCCCTCCCCCCAGAAATACACCTCAAAGTGAGGCTCAAACAGCCTTATCTCTGCGGAAACACCCCCTGAATTTTTTTGGGGAGTAACATGGGATGATACAGAGCACACTCACCCCCAAAAAGGAGGGGGGGGTTATGAAGAAAAAATCACCCCAAAGGGTTGGAGCCTCCTCAAGAACATTCAGTTTGTTCGGTCTTCTGGGACTCAAAGACAGAGACATGGAGGAAGGTTCAATGCAATGTAACTAAAGAGGAGATTTGTGTAAAAAAATGTAAGAACTCAAGGTCACAGAGGTCACTTGATTGTGATTTTGTTTCATACCTATCTAATCACGGTTACTTTCTTATTATTATTATTATTCTCGTATCCGTCCTGAATGGGACTCACGACGGCAGAATTAACCGTGAGCATGTGTGTGTGTGAGAGTGGGAGAACGAAATGAAAAAGAAAAGAAGTCTTGTAATAAGGTCAAATTTAAGAAGAGCAGTACTAGACTAAATGGCTGAGCAGAGGTTACTCCATTGTTTTCTGTCGCGGGCATAGGTGCCGAGATCACGAAGGCAGCTGGGCTTAAAAATGCAGATAGGTGTGAGGCGGACGTCTCGCTGGAGACTTGTGGTGAGGCAGGAGCGGGGTGCACCTATTCGAAAGGGCTGACTGGTAGCATATGTACAGAAGGTTACTTTCTTACTCAGCTAAAACATCCTTACTAGTAAGTTACTACCCTAGCTTTCAAGATAATAGTATAACCACTCCAGTTCAGCTTTGGTAAGGATATAGGACCAGGCTGAGGTGGCATGTTCCAGAGGCGGGTGGACATGACCTTTCTACAGATTAGTAAGGCTTTAGGGGCCAAATGCCAAGTTTTTGCAATAGGTCAAAGTTTGAACGAGCTGCAACAAGAGGAACCTAGAAAATGTGTTCTCTGGCGATCAACAAGTAACCGGGAGGCTCTTCAGGTGCTTTTGGATCTCCCATGGTCCCAGTACATGTGTAATGGGTGGGGAAATGAGCGTTTGGATCTCTGCTTTCCATTGCACTTTGAATGGTGAAAATCCGTTGACTTTGAGAAAGGAGGTGAATGAAAGGGTGAGATGAAGTTGTGAATCTGAGGCATCGTCGGGCAGCTTGGAGAGGACATGGAAATAACCCTGACATGCTTATTGTTCTGAAAACGTTACGAATAGCTTCATTTGATCCTGATCTTTCAAACGAGCCATGGATCATGAAAATCCACCAAGGTGAAGTGAAATCGGGATTGAGCTGGTTGCGGCAGTGTATGCAAAACTAGTTCAAGTGTACAATTGCTCTAAAATTGCAGATAACTGGGGAATATGGCTCACATAGAAAGGGTTAATTGTGTAAAGGGGAAGTAATTTTCATCAACCACCACAGCATAACTGCACTCGCCAGCCGACCTCGACACGACGTTGCCACAGCACGCCACCAGCAAAGCGACACATCTGTTGGTACTGAATTCCTTCATTCAGCTGTTTTGATTACAAAACTCTCATCAGTGAAGGTAGATATTGTAGAATGGCCAAACATAGTGAAAGTCACTCTGAAATTGAAAGACACTATGAAAAATTAAGCCAAGACTCGAATGTTAAGCCAATATTGTAAGTAAAGAGAAAGGACCAGTAAGTTATGAGTTATGAAAGAACAGTCCACCAAAAAAAGGTCACGGCACGTGTTAGACTCAGCTGGAGGATAATGACTTTCGGTTTGCGACAGTTCGTTTTTGCTTGGCTTCCCCAGTTCTGTACTTAAGTAGGTATAGCGAGTTTTATAAAGTGTCTCAGGTATAAACAAGTGTTATACACAGCTCTTGGCAGAAACCATAACTCTGCGTAAAGTATGTCACTGTCTGAGACGACATGATTGTATATCTGTTCTACTCTTGTTTGTTGCTGTAGATACACAAGCAGCTTCTATAGTGTGTGACTCACACATGTATACATACCATAGCATCTCATTCTCAGCAGATCATGCAAACCAGACGTGCTATCAACAATATGGTGGTCGTCCATTGTCTACAGACGGGCAGGAACTCAGCTGTGCCTCACAACTGCTGAACACATCGCAAGTCTTGCATGACAACAACATCAGCTACATACCGGTATACACCAACGCCACTAATGGGTCTCATTGCACTACCTACCAACCATCAACCAACACAGTAGGTCAAGACTCCTGCACCATGGCACGACCAACAATCTGTGTGTCTCGTAAGTGCCCCGCTCTGCTAGCATCAAGTGACGTACTCTATGTATGTGTTGGCTGCTCCCGGCTAATGATGCCCCCTCACACCGGAATTCAAGGGTATTATGATTGGATAATTAGAAGTATTCGATAAGAGTGTAAACAGAAGGAGAACAGGACAACGACCACTCAAGACTAGACTACAACAGAACAGAACCTGGAGCATGCGCTCTTCTATGTGAGTGGCTCATTGCCAAGGGGAACGAGCGGGAAATACGAATAGTGAGTATTCAGGTCGTAGCATACATACACCTATTACACTGTGCCCCCCTAGCTAAAATTCACGTCCACGGGAATGAACGAAATACCTAGGAAACAAACAAAAGAAAACAAACCAAATAATAAACTCAGCCCAGGACATAGTCAGCTAGTCGAGCAGGTGCAGTGCGAACACGGCCAGAACGACGAGAAACAGGAGAAGAAGTACGGACCGGACACAGTTACAGCTTTCTTGAGGCGATTGAAATGGACGGTACGTTCACACCCAGGCATAAACAAGGTATACGACGTAGGACCATTCACACGAACAACACGAAACGGACCGGACCAATAACGGTGGAACTTGGCAGACTCGCCGGCATGAATCACCTTATCATGCAGCCAGACTAAACCGCCAACGACAAACGAAGCACCACTGCAGTGAGCATCATACACTGACTTCTGGTGACGATGGACAGCAGCTAACTGAACACGAGCAAGAGAATGAGCCTGAGCTAAACGATCACGTACGAGCTGAACATAGGCAAATGGGGAGAGCTCGGGAGGATCAGGAGGAGGAAAGACCAGATAAACAGGCAGGCGAAGCTCAGCACCATACAACAAACGGGAAGGCGTAAAACCAGTACTACTGTGTACAGCAGCACGGTAGGCGAGAAGAACAAGCGGAAGGTGAATATCCCAATGGACATCTGTAGGGCCAACAAAAGCCTTCAGGTGATGGATTAATGTACGATTGAGGCGTTCAACAAGTCCATTGCCCTCGGGGTGGTAACTGGTTGTGCGGGATTTCCAGATGCCAAGGATGGTGCACAACGACTGGAACAACCGAGCTTCGAACTGAGAGCCTTGGTCAGAGTGGAGGCGACGTGGCGCTCCAAAGCGAGACACCCAACCATGAACAAATGCCAGAGCGACAGCCTCAGCAGTAATGGCAGACAAAGGAACGGCTTCAGCCCAGCGAGTGAAGTAGTCGACGATGACAAGGACATACCTGTTACCGGTTGGAGTCACAGGAAGTGGACCAACGATATCCAATGCGACAAACTCAAACGGAAAACCAGCAGCCATGGACTGCAACGGAGCACGGTGCACTGGATTCTTAGAAGCCAACTGAGCACAAGTGGGACAACTCTGCACATAAATCTGGACATCGGATGCCATACCCTGCCAAAAGAAACGTTGACGGGCCAGATGTAACGTTTTCTCAATGCAAAAGTGACCAGCACCGGGCAGAGAATGAACAGACGCGAGCGCAGCAGACTGCAAAACGACAGGGACAATCAGAACAGGATGTTCGACATCAACAACATGAGCGAACGGGGGATCAAGATACAACACCTTATCGATAAGACGCAACTGAGAAACAGAAGACCAAAGGAATTTCTGAAGACGGCTGAAGGGACGGATATCCTCTTCAGGTGGACGGACAAATTTCCCACTGGCAGCATCGTACCAAGACAAAACCGCAGCGAGATCAGGATCAGCAGACTGGGCACTCAGAATATCCTGCGGCCGAAAACAATCAGGCGGCGGATCAGGAGAACTGACGAAAGTGGCTCCAGCAACTGGCACTTCAGCAGCAGCTGACAGCGGAACATCACGGGCAAGAGGCGGCGGACTCGGCGGAGGAGACGGCACATCGGTCACCACGCGGGACATAGCATCGGCATTCAGATGTTGGCGACCTGGACGGTGGACGACTCGGAATTCATATTCGGATAAACAGTCAAGCCAACGTGCTTTCCGTCCGCGGGGTTCCTTCAGGTTCCGGAGTGCAGTCAACGCAGTATTGTCCGTCCTGGCAACAAATGGTCGTGCCAACAAGTAGTGCCTGAAATACTCCGCAAAATAGACCAGAGCAAGGGCCTCACGATCGCTAGCATCGTAGTTGCGCTCAGCTTTCGTCAGTACACGGCTGCCGTACCCAATGGGTCGCTCAGTTCCATCCTGGATCTGGCTGAGGACTGCACCAATCGACACATTGCTCGCATCGGTGTCCAGAATGAATGCACCTGCTGAATCTTCAAACTGGGGGTACGCCATCACCGGCGCACTGGCAAGCGAACGCTTCAGAGCCTGGGACGCCGCTTCGCAAGCTTTCGACCACGCAAAGCGAGCATTCTTGCTTGTCAGAGCAGTCAGCGGAGCAGCACGCTGGGCGAACCCACGGATGAAGCGGCGATAATATCTAGCGAAGCCAAGGAACTCGCGGACAGCTGTGACAGATTTCGGAGTCTTCCAGTTCCTGACCGCAATGAGTTTGGCCTCATTCGGGGAGATGCCCTCCGCTGACACGCGGTGTCCTAAGAAAGTGACCTCCTCCTGGAAGAAGGAGCATTTCTTCAGATTGAACCGCAGTCCAGCGGACCGAACTCGCGCGAACACGGGCAGCAGAATCTGGAGTTGGCCAGACAGCGTTTCGCTGGTATTCAGGACATCATCAAAGAACACACGGCAGAATGGCTGAGACGGTGTGTTACATAAGCCACTCAGGACTGCTTCCATTACGCGCTGAAATGTCGCTGGGCCATTCCTGCAGCCCAGGGTGACAAATTCTGCTCAGGATTTCCACACACAGTGGACTGAGCAATCTCAGCAGTTGTTTTCTATCACATTGATCAGAGTAATAGTTTTTAGTCGTCCTTGAAACGAACATGGTTCATTTTGTACTCGGATCCCCTCCCCACCCTCTGAAATGAACGCAGCTTGCTATGCTGGACGACGAAAATAGCATGTTAATTAATATGTATGAACATTGTCAGTCGACTTGAGATTTTAGCTGAAACCACTTGCCCTCAAATGAACGATGTTCGTTTCAGGGATGCCAAAAGACTATTTCACCAACCCCAAAGACAATACTATTGATTCTGTGTGTGTGTGCTCAAACAGATATCGTGGTCTGCTTTGCAACAACATCACTGACTGTAGAATTCGTCGATAGAAGCGTGGGCTTATCTGGCTGGGGCAGTGATGGGCCTAATCATGGACATGGCCTTTTATAGTACAAAGGCATGAAATTGTACTAAGTACATGTATGCTTGTTATTATTTGACAAGAGATCAGGTAATCTAGAGTAGGCTAAAGCCAACATGCTTGCCTTGGTATGGCTCATCTTAGTACATATACAGGTCTACCGTCGTTAGTAAATAACCCCGCTAGTTTCAAATTCTTGTCTTATAACCAGTATTATCTACTATCCTGTCGTGAATGTACACACTTCAGGAGTCTGGGGATTTGTGATCGTTGTCTACTAATGAGGTTTGTCTAGTAGTTGATGTCGTACTAACGAGGGTAGACATGTAGTGACAATAGTCGACTGGTCGATCCGATGCAGGGCGCGTCCCTACACCAACACCACCAAGCGGTGCGACCTGTGCCTAACAGAGAAGCTATACATCAGCAATGCAGACAAGGAAACGTCCCTCAACAAGCGCACAGAGCTGGTGTCAAAGTTCCGACACGAATCAAAGTTCTACCTCTGCAATTCTATAACTTAGCGCCCTCCCCGAGTCAGTAGCACCCCCAGTTGGTGCCAACTCTCACCAAGCCAAAATGGCATGAGTAGCATCTTGCCTGTATTCTCCTTTGCCCCGCGGCCCGGTAGCGCCATGGCCGGTGTCATAATATCCCCACGCCACCAGCATAGTACTGAACTGATCACTTACACTGCCTTCATAATACTCCCATGCCCCCCCCCCCGCATAACACTATACTGATCGCTTATACTGCCTTCGCGCTGAAACACTAGCATTGCATACCTGCCATGGGACAACACCTATAGTGAATAAGACCATACAACCCCGACTATAGCCCCAGTCTCCTGATGATTGCTTTTCAGCATGAAACTCGTGAGTAGAGACATTTTATCACTTTTTGTTCCACAGGATTTTCGTGTGTAATCACAATAGTAATATGTAGAGCAAGTTTTTAAAATTCTGTCAATACGGGCACTGCTCAATTGGCGTTACCAGTGTTGTCAACCCAGACAGCAGTATATTTGTTTTTCCTGCAGTGTATTATGCTTCTCTGTTCATTGTTGCAGTTTAATGTGCTTCTGTGTTTATTATCACAGTCTACTGCAACGACAGCAACAACTTGGTAGCAGCACGTAATGAAGACCGGTGTATGTGTAGACCTGGTTATATCAGGACATCCGCACACAGATGTAAGTGATATGGTCCCATCCTAACACATTCTCATTCTGTTTGACTGACAAATTTCGAAGAGAATTGGTGAGCACACATGCTCATTCCCTGCGCACTGCAAATTCACAACTCATTTCATTTCACTGAACCATTTTTCAAAATTTCGAAGGATATGAAAACTTGTGCCTGACTGGTATACCTTGATTGCTTGATCCTGGTGTGTGCTGACTGACGTGAAAAATAGGCAAACTGGGGAGTAGTCACCGCGAGGTGGCCATGATGTTAACACTGGCGGAACAGTCCGGAAGGTTTCAAATCTGACCTTCAAGGAGAATTTCACTTTGTTAGAAAATTAGCGGCCACATGCCCCGTACTGCTCTTTTTCTCTCCGAAACTCAACACTCGCAAGCCAGATATGAAAGAAAGAAAATTCATCAGTCACACCACCGGCACTCGAACCAGGGACCTTGCTATTCGCGAGCAATGCGCTAACCAACTTTGTATTTGCTCGCTGTGGACATAGCTTGATCCGCTCCCCATGATATCAAGCGAATGGCCGAGGGCCCTCTTGATTGGTGTGAGTTGCCAGTATGTTGCAAGCCAGATATTGATTGATTGAAGAAGGATAGATTTACCATCACTGTGGATAAGAGTCATACTGTAGCTCAGTTGGTTAGAGCATTGCTCGCGAATAGCAAGGTCCCTGGTTCGAGTCCCGGTGGTGTGACTGATGATTTTTTCTTTCTTTTATATCTGGCTTGCGAGTGTTGAGTTTCGGAGAGAAAAGGAGCAGTACGGGGAATATGGCCTCTAGTTTCCTAACACTTAACAGTGTGGAAGATTTAACAGAATTTAGAAAGACTGGACACAGGTTTCGCAAAGCGTACAATGCGGAATGCGATGTTTGTTGCTTATGATTGTAGGGGTGAAACGATTAGTTCGAGTAATTCGTTCGAAAATTTCGAACGAGCAAGTAGTTCAGGTACTAGTACTAGAGGGGCTGGGGTGAGGGAAACCGTCACTCGGACTCCCCCCAACGCACACTCTACCAACCGTACCCGCACTTCCCAAACATCGCCACATGTACACCAGACCTCATCACGCACTGAAACACCACCGGCTGCACCAACCAGATCAACGGAATTCTGTGTCAACGTAGAGTGCGGTTGCACTTTTTGAGCTGTGAACATGCCGTTGATCGACTATTCATATCCAAACGATAGCTACAAGCAAGGATCGGTAACCCCAAAGCAGGCATTTGGGAAGCCATGCTTTGATCTCTACGTTGAGGAGGACGACACAGACTCTCGGTCTGCTGGTGACTCTACTGGAGAGGCGAACGTGTGTTCTGCGGGCAGAACCACACACCCTACGGAATGCGGTCGAGATGCAGGCAGCAAGTCACCGGTAAGTGACTTAGAGGTTATCTCGCCTCCCGAAGACTCCATATTAGATGTCAATGGCCTGATCGAAAGCATCAAGACCGAAATAGTTGGGACAGTCAAGGCTGAATTGGCCGCCCTTCAGGAAGTCTTTTCAGGGATCTCCTCGGCAATCGCCAACATGCAAGGGGAACTCTCCATGATTAGAAAAGAGCAAGCTGACCTTGCACACACGCATACGCCTATTAGTACGGTGCAATCAGATTCCCGTATATCTGCGCTGGAGGACAAGTGTAAGGAACAAGAAGCGCGCCTCAAGTCAGTAGAGCATATGCAACACATGTACACTGAACCGACCCCACTCAAAAAGGCTGGCGATACCGTATCCAAGCCAGGTGCACGTGGGCTGCAAATGCAGCAAGCCAACCAAGGGCGCCTCAAGCCAGTAGAGCATGTACAACACACTGCACCGACCCCATTCAAAAAGGCGGGCGATACCGTATCCAAGCCGGGTGCACATGGGCTGCAAATGCAGCAAGCCAACCACATGGATACCACTACAAGTTGTAGCACTTGCAGATCCGCGACCCAGCAGCGCGTATGGGCATCCGTGCTCAATAGCTCCAGTGACAACCGAGCACTTCGGCCCTCCTCCAAGCCATCGGTCACTGCGCAGCCACCTCTCCCACAGGGGCACCACCAGCAAACTAACCAGCACCAACGACCCCAACAGCGACAACAACAACAACAACAACAACAACAACAACAACAACAACAACAGCGCCAGAAGCAGCAGCAGCAGCAGCAACAACAGCACCACCAACACCACCAACACCACCAACACGACGAGCAATGGACTACAGTTACCAGCCGCAAACTGAGAGGTTCTCTTGGCTCCCTGCGAAAAGTATACTTTGTTGGCAATATTGATGACAGTTGCGACGCAGACTCCATAACGTCCCACTGTGTCCAGAATGGCATCACACCCACAGCTTGCCGCACCTTTCCTTCTCGCAAGCATGTAGGCACAAAAGCTGCAAGGCTTACAGTCCGTGAAGACCAATGTGCAGCCATCGAAGCAGATGGGTTTTGGCCAGCGCCCATTCAGGTTCGGCCATGGGACTTCAGCGAGGCAAATGGGCCCACAGCCACCAACTAATCGACCGTGTTCCCACTCAATCCCCATGCACCAGTCTTCTTACCTCGCATCTATCGCGCCCAACCCTGCTCTACAGCAGCCACGACCTTGTTCCCACTCAACCCCCATGCACCAGTCTTCATACCTTGCACCTATCGTGCCCAACCCCGCTCAACAGCAGCCACGACCGTGTTCCCACTCAATCCCCATGCACCAGTTTTCATGCCTCGCACCTATCGTGCCCAACCCCACTCAACGTTTGTAAGAGAACAACCTCCACCTGATACCACACCAGTAAACGCATCCCCCCACAACAATAACAATAATTCTTGCATTCGGATATGTACCCTGAACTGTCGTAGTATGAAACATAAATTGGCTGATATTACAGACCTCCTTGACCACCATAAAGTAGACATTTTGTGTATAACGGAAACATGGCTAAATTCGTGTATCCCAGACGAGATCATTAAGATACCGGGTTACGACCTGTTCCGTCGTGACCGGTCCCAGTGCAGCACTACATGGAGCGACTTGGGTGGTGGTGGGGTAGCAGTCTTCTCTTCGTCCGCCCTTTGTGCTATGCGCCGCCGGGATCTAGAGTGCAACAATTCAGAGATGATAACTGTCGAAACAGGAGCTACAATCATGTCCTGTATGTACCGTCCTCCAAGACACGATAGTCTTGCATTCTGCAACTCATTCAGTCCTCTTCACCCCCTCGTTGACAACCGTCCAGTAATTGTCGTGGGAGACTTTAACTCCAAGAACAATGAGTGGAACAACGCAGACCCTACGAACACTGCAGGTAGACACATGCAGTCCGCCTTTGACGACTATGGCTTCACTATGGTCTCCAAGAACCATGGAACGAGGCCAACTAAAGATTCTAATCCGTCCCTAGACCTGATTTTAACTAATATGCCCCATCTTGTCACTTCATGTTACACATCCATGCCCATTGCAGACCACTGTCCTCTATTTTGCGCATATTCTCCACCAGAGAAACGCCACTCTAGAAGAACTGTCAACGCAGCCGCAGTCTCCAGAAAGGTTGACATGCACCTCCTCAGGCAGAAACTGAGCACACTACCATTGACCGAATGCATGCAGGGCACCAACGTGCACATCAGTTTCAGATGCATGGCCTACTCTGCACTGCTGGACCAGGCAATTCAGGCAGCAACGACCATCACACGCCGGAAAAACACCCAGTCGAACCAACCATGGTTCACAAAAAAACTTAAGACGCAACGTCAGCGAACTAACCGCCTCTATGTGCTCCACCGAAAGGAGCCACTCAACGATTCCTTACGAGCTGCATACAAACTCTCGCGCAACCTGTACCACCGGTCATTAAGAGCCGCCAAGGACACATACTTGTCAACGCTCGGATACACAATGCTTGGCAAGGAAAGAAAGGGTGGCTATGCGTGGTGGAAACGTGCCAAAGCAATATGCAATATTGACCAAACAAATAAAAAGGCAATTCCAGACCTGCAGAACGGCAATGAAATTCACAAAACAGATCAAGCGAAGGCCGAAACGCTGTGTACCTTCTTTGCCCGCCAATGCACCACTCAGTCAACGCCGCCAAATACTGTAGCAACTAGTATAACAATCAATGAAGCCGACGTCGATGGAAACAAATTTGGATTCGGAAACATACGCCCTGTTGAAGTCTTCGATGCAGCAAAAAGGCTGCAACAACATAAATCATCATCAGACATCAACCTGACAAACCGTATACTAAAGGAATTCGCCGACATCCTTTCCCAATCACTATCAGTATTGTTCAACTACAGCCTTGATGATGGTGTGTTCCCGTCCTCCTGGAAATCATCCACTGTAATACCGGTGTACAAGAATAGAGGTTGCGCCAAAGAGCCTACCAATTACAGACCTATATCCCTTCTCCCATGCATAGCGAAACTAATGGAAAAGATTCTCTCGGAACGTCTACTTCGATACTTGATGACCCATGGTGTAATTTGTAAAGGTCAATTCGCATATGTACGCAACAAGTCTGTAACGGACCAACTTATCTTGCTAACCCAATCAATGGCTGTAAATATTGATAATGGCACTAATTTTGACCTGATATCTCTAGATTTCAGGAAAGCTTTCGACCGGGTCGACCACTCTATACTCCTAAAGAAATTCGGTAAGATTGCTACAGCTTCGTCAGTAAAATGGCTGAAGAGCTTCTTAGGGGATCGACAAATTGAAGTGAAGGTACATAGCACTAAATCGAAGAAGCGGAGCATCAACTGCGGAGTGCCTCAAGGTTCCCACCTTTCACCACTCCTATTCCTACTCTATATAAATGACCTGCCCAACGCTATGCAACATTGCACGCAATATCTATTTGCAGATGATGTCACTCTCCTACTGGCTTACAAACCTGAAGACACCCTCGCCAGTAGAGCGAACATGCAGTCTGATCTCGATGCATGTCAAACATGGGGCAGGAACAATGGAGGTGAATTCTCAGCGAGCA